TCTTTATGCACCAAGAGCTTGTAACACTCCAAAGAGAAAGGAAAAATTTTAATCGCATCATATGACCCCTTTAAATGCATATTTTGAGAAAACAAAAACATTTTTGACCTTGCATGCATGTAAACCTATTGTAGGAGACTCCCAAAACAATAATAGGAACTTTAAAAATTGTATAATATGGGCATTTAAGTAAAGAAAATGTATGTTGTCTAATACTTACTGGTTTCGGCATCTTTGTCTCCTCTCCTCCCTTCCCACGTAATCAAGAAAAGAAGAAAAACTTGTCCTCTATTACAGGATTGTAGGCCCCTAAAAAAGCAGGGAATAAAAGGAATAAGAACACTCCTACTTTCTTCTATATTTCCACCAGACAAAAGTTGAAACTCCATTAAGCTTAAATCACAATAGTTCTCTATGTGGACAAATATTAGCCTAATATTTGGACAGATATTTGTTTCAGTTCAGAGGACAAGTATTCATGTAAATATATCTGCAAAGCACAGTACTATGTTAATGACACTTTAGACTGATAAAGAAACATGCATGAATGAGAAAAAGAGCAGGACGTGCGTGACTGACACACAGCCGAAGCGCGCACAGAAAGTTGATTCTCTCACATAATCCATTTGCAGTGTGTGTGGTATGTATGTTGTGCAGCAGCAGCACAGGCTCATTGTACTTTCACGTTTGCAGCTATATACAACAAGCACAACATTTATCCATTATTTTGATTTCAAATCTAAATGTTGTTACTGAAAACGCTTTTTCCAGCATTGAATTCTCTTTGTACAGAGTACAGTAAATCTTTTATAGATGTATTTACATTTAAAGGCAATAAATATAAACAATGTATTATTCAAAGCATTTTACTATATATTACGCTGTTTAAAGCAAGTTTCATAAAACCTCGTCCCATTCTTCAGGCTGCATTAGCCTACATCCTGCAATGGCAAGAGAAATTAATTAAAAAATGTTTATTCAGGGTGGTAGAGAAACACTAAATTACTAATATTATTAAAGAGAGGTTTCTAATGTGACACAAATAGGTTAGAGATCAGTATGACATTTTTATGAATAATTAGGAGCACACTTGCTCTGAGAATATCATATTACTCCCGGATCTTGGCTAATTTGAGCGGGTCAAGACCAATTCATGTGTTCATTGTTCACTTGACTCGCTTATTAACTGCAGCAAGTTTTATGTCCTGGAGAAGTCGAATTCACAAATGAACCATTCAATGTTAATGGTGAACCAGTTGATTGAAAAGAATCGTATCAAAAGATTTGCTAATGAAAAGGACATCACTATCAAGTCTCGGACAAGATCTCAATTTCCTCACTTTAAAATAACGAGGGAACAGCATGTTTTCTTGAAATGAAGTGGAGAAAAAAAGTCTTATATTATGCTTTGCAATGTAGTGAAGAAAAACAAAGTTTCATAAAACCTAAATCAACACAGCAGACACATCAGCCTATTGCAGTGTCATTTAGTTATCATACTGTCATGGCTTATAAACAACTTCTGTACCAATAAGTGTGCCTTGCCATGTTATTTAAAGGTGCACTAAGCAATATTTAAAAAAAGCTTTTGACCACAGTGTCGGCCAAAGTCCCAAAACACACTCGCTGCCAATCAGCAGCAAGGGGCGTGTCTAGTATTGATAGGGAGAAGAGAGCGCTCAGTAAGTGCACAGGACAGATATTAGCAGACAGACTATAGACAGCGAGAGATGGCAGATTTAAAAAAAAAGGAAAATTTCGGAGGAACAAAACATTAAAAAGAAGGGTTACGATCAGGTAAGAGGTAGGACCAACGTAAATATTGGCGCAGCTTTCCAGCGGTGGAGAGAACTCAAGGAGTGGGAAGGCCTGCATTTGGATGCCGAGGTTGCTCTGTTTCTTCTTGATAAGTGAATTCTGTTGATTTTGCTTTTTCACACATCTAATCTGTGTTGGCTTTTGATTGAATATGCTGCGACCGGCAGGCATAGCAGATTCCACCATCATCACTACCAGGGTTGTGTATGTACGTGGGCGGAGTTATCAAAATAGGGGCGAGGTCCTGTTGGGTATGGGCGTGTTTGTTTTGGTGCTTTCACATATCAGCATTGTTTGGCAAAAATCGCTTAGTGCACCTTTAAGTTAAAATGATACAGACACATATTTTTAATTTCCTTTCTCATACTATGGTGATATGAAGTACCATACTGACCCGAATATATGACGATGTTTTTTTCTTGGAAATACATCTGAAAAAACGCGGTCATCTTATATTCAGGGTCTAGACTTTGACATGTCAATAATACACCCACAACAATAGGTGGCGCCAAATACGCATAAAACGAGTGTGCCATGAAATATGTAAAGTAATGCGTGTTGTAAAGATTGCGAGTAAAATCAAAAGAAAAAGAAAACCTTACAGCTGCATGAGTCGTGACTGTCACGTTAGCCTGATGGGACCAAACTCCCTTTGTGATTTTAAAACGTAAGACAGTACCCAGATTTTAAGTCTACAGTAAGATTTAACAGAAACTGGGAAATAAACTGAAATCATTCTGCCACCGATCTGGACGAGCTCACAGAGACTGTAACATCTTATATTAGTTTCTGTGAAGACATGTGCATTCCTACCAGGACTCATTTAACCTACAACAATGACAAACCATGGTTCACTGCAAAACTCAGACAGCTCCGTCAGGCCAAAGAAGATGCTCACAGGAAGGGGGATGTTTTATACAACAATGTCTTGTATAAACAGGCTAAATACACACTGGAAAAGGAGATCAGAGTGGCAAAGAGAAAACCTTTCCAATGTATGTTAAATATTAATATAATAATTAGATATTACATATAATTTGGTAAAGCAAAGTGCTACATGTTTTATTGGTGCAAAGGTGAGTATATTTATTTTGTACATCATTTGCAACTGCTTTTTATCACTTAATTAGAAGCACCAGAATTTAAATTGTGTGATCTCTGTTATAGGGACTACTGAACAGACATTTAGAAGTTTATTTTAAAATGCAAAGTATTGAAAATAAAAATTAAAACTCTGTAAACACTTGCGTTTTTACTACACTATAAGTATGTCCCATCAGGTAATGAAAAGTTGTACACACACTTGTGGTCTTCATCCTCACTTGAACACTTGGGCCAGATACAGGAAATACGTCAAATAAGTAGTCAAGTTATCAAGTGCAAAGACAAACCATTAGTGTGGGTATTTGGACAAGGCATTAATCTATATGTAGCCATGATTTAGCTCTAAATTGGACGGGCTACGTGTAGGCTGCTTTTAGCCCACCTGGCGAAATCGAGGCAATCTGTGGTCTAATTTTAACGGCTTGGCTATAGCCCTATACCAGTAACCAGACCAGCGATGAGCATAGCCAAAATAGCCTTAAAATTGTTTA